CACATTAGAACTTACAAATCAAATAATTTTGGGAACTTGATATTATTATTTTTTCATAAAATAGAATTAATTCAGAATAAAGAGCAGTATTTTTGGACTTCATAATGCTACTTTGGGATACCTTACATTAATTCTGTAACAAAAATGCATTTTTTCTTTAAAAAAAAAAAAAGGTGTGCAGTACTTACCCCGTTTAACAGGACGATTTGCTACAGAAAACATCTGCATGGCAATAGAAAAGTCTTCCAGGTTGTTTGTAAACTTGCAAAAAGTCTTGAATTCTTCCAAACTGATATTCTAGAGTATCACAGAATTCAGATGATATGTAATGAATAATACATTCAAACCCCAGTAAATCTATTTCAGTAAATCTGGTGGGACCTAGTGTTTAGGTGTGATTGCTTACTCATCGTCAATATTTGTATTTCTCAGTTGGCAAATTATCATTGTTCTTTGCATAAAATTTGCATCAAATTTAAAAGCTGCAATAATTCACTTGGAAACTAGTTACATTATTAGATACTCATATTCAAATGAAACCTGTACATACAAACGAGGAAGCAAAACAAAGCATGCTTTATGTACCAACCTCTCCCGCCTCAATTCTGTCTTTCACATTCTGCCAGTAAATGTCATTGTTTTCCTCATCGGTGAAGTACAGTAACCATTCTGCAAAGTCTTCTTTTCTCATGACATTCAAACCCTTTGAAAACTTTATGAATTCCATTTCTTGGACTTCTGTTTGCAGATTTTCCATGAATCTAAGTGTAAACAGGTATTATCCAACAGTTGATACCTGCATCACTGTATCACTACTACTATTTTAGCTATTAAATGCACTAGACACAAACTCTTAATCACAGATACTATCGACATCATTGTTTAAAATGTCACTGGTTTAATTTTACCTGTGTGTGCAGATTTGTTTCCACGGGTGCATTTCAATAGTAACACCAGTAGGGTGCTCTCCAAGTCTGCATTCATTGAGTGCTGCTGCTAAGATAATTTACAGGTACACTTGGCATATAGCTTTAACTAATGTTTAAAAGTGTGCAGATAATGAGATAAAATTATTGGTAAGGCAGTATTATAATGAATGAATGAAAAAGGACACGGTAACTAAAGGCTTGACACATGATTTATGAAATTTCGTATTAATAAGAGAGGAATGACAAGGTTGGAAAGTGCCTAGAAAGATGAGGCCCTAATAATCACAAAGGTGAAAGAAAAGAGGAAACTTGAAATCATCACTGCAGGAAAAGATGACTAAAAGCCTCGAAGATTATAATTGCAAAGAGGGGCTTGGCAAATCAGTTCTGCACTCACTAGAGGATGGATTAGAGAGGATTACAATT